ATACTATATCCAGTATATATAATCACTGGATACGTCAGTAGTTGCTGCTCATGGTGCGACATAATGCAGCAAGCAATCAAAGGTGGCATGTCGTGGGCTGTTCAGCACACTGAGGGCCGGGGGCGCAAGGCAAACACAGCCACATGCATATGCACATACTCTTCTGAGTGTCAGGTTGGTGAGGTTCAGCTGTAACAGAAGTGCACGGTGCAAGGATCTCTGGCTTATTTTAATTAGACATTAACGTTAATGCACTGAACAAGCTCATTATGCCTTTCTTTGCCCCCTGGTGGACCGCATCCACAGAGAGCCACTGCCATGACCGCTCATGCACGGCTATTTCATCACTCTGACACATGCATGGTGATTAGACCGACTTCCAGAGAATATTCTACCCGTCAGGCCTAGAGCACTTGGGCTTTAGTGGCAGAGAAGAAATGTGAAGCCTGGCCTGAAGGACCCAGACAGCTAATTACTCATTAATGTTTATGATTATCCAGCTAACGCAACAATGCTCACTTATTCAAGATATATTAGATGTGTGGTCATCCGTGAGCCTTCTGCCCTCGAGTTGCATTCTCTTGCCTTTCATACGTCAACCTAAAGTGCTCAAGCTCTCTCTGCACTTGTTATTAAATTACATGAGTTTAAAACCACACTAATTGGTTTAATCTGAACGCTGGGTTAATTTGGCGCTATGATGAGGTTCAGGGCACGGATGTACTAGCGAGTGAAAAAGCCCTGATTCACAACAGCACTTGAGAAAGAAAAGCGCTTCACCAACTTCTACGTCAAACGGAACGGGTTTATCTCTGTGACCGTTCAAGAACATGCAGACAAGAAAGATTGAGTTTATTGTTCATGTTTCTTGTGTAGTGGTGCACCAATAAGGGTTAAAAACAAACATCTCCAGTGAGACAGACATACTTACATCCAGCCAGGAGGTATTGATAGCACTGCACAAAGTCTGAGGCCAGCACCAAGGGGTGGTTGCTGTGGAAAGGTGGTTGTAGCTCATTCCACTGCGGTGTCCTACTCAAAACAAACATAGAAATCAATTTAGGAAGCGCATATCAAAGGGCCAGATGTATATTACAGTCTCCAGCTGAGCTATAATGGACTCAAAACTCTCCACAGCCCGACGGACCTTTCATTTCTCCCATCTCATGTGGGCCACACGAGCTATACAGCTCAGTACATACAATCATTTAACATGTACAATCAGATCAGAAAGCCATTCTGAGAGCAACCCCTGCCTGTTTCCATTTTCTTCTCTTGGTCACAAGTTTTATTGCATTATGACTGAGCTCAGCGTCTGGGTTGGTGAAAAGCCGTGACGTTAATCATTTGCTTGCCCTCATTAAGGCGCCATATAAGCTGTTTTATGTAAACGATATGACTGCAGTGGGTCATGTCAGGTGCTTCTGTCGGACTGAAGTTGAAGTGTAAAAGCAGGTAAATAGGTGTGGTGCTGAGAGCCCCGGGGCAACACCTGGCTAGATTCCAACAGGCTCTCGGACAGGTGTTCAGCTCCAGAGGCGTGTCGTCGCCTATCTTTTGTGCCGTGCTGATTGGACGAGGTTCCAGCACATGCTCCACCAGATTTCCGTAGCAACTCAGGATGTACAGTGATTCAACGACAGCCTGCCGAGACTGATCTAACAGGGAAGAAAAGTCAAGAACAAGTTATTAAAGATTTTGGTTTCTAACATGACCTCAGAATTTTTTTGTGGAACAGATTTTGCAGTTCCATCTGGTACCACTTAAAGGATCAAAGAAATAAACAAAAAGGAGATGCCAGAGCTATTAACAAATAATAAAGAAATAGAATGTAAAAACATACTGTACTAACTAAAATATAAGAAAATATAATAAATACTATACACAGTCACACACATATACATATATGTGTGTGTGTATATATAGCTTTAGCTAAATTAAGTGATTTGAATATTGATGAAATATGTATCGTGATTAATTGCATCCAAAATAAAAGTTTTTGTTTACATAATGTATGTGTGTGTACAGTGTATATTTATTATGTATATATAAATTCACACACAAAGTATATATTTCGAAAATATTTACATGTATTTACATGTATATATTTATATTCTATACTTTCATATTCTATAGAATATGAAATTCGTGGCCTTGTGTGCACTGTGTATATTTATTATGTATATATAAAGACACACACATACAGTATATATTTCGAAAATATTTACATGTATTTACATGTATATATTTATATTCTATACTTTCATATTCTATAGAATATGAAATTCGTGGCCTAATGGTTAGAGAGTCGGACTCGTAACCCAAAGGTTGCGGGTTCGAGTCTCGTACCGGCAAAGAATTGTAGGTGGGGGGAGTGAATGTACAGCGCTCTCTTCCACCTTCAATACCACGACTGAGGTGCCCTTGAGCAAGGCACCGAACCCCCAACTGCTCCCCGGGCGCCGCAGCATAAAAATGGCTGCCCACTGCTCCGGGTGTGTGTTCACAGTGTGTGTGTGTTCACTGCTGTGTGTGTGCACTTTGGATGGGATAAATGCAGAGCACTAATTCCGAGTATGGGTCACCATACTTGGCCACATGTCACGTCACTTTCACTTTCAAATAATTTATATTATACTTAAATATATACATGCATGTGTGTGTATTTATATATACATAATAAATATACACAGTACACACACATACATTATGTAAACAAAAACTTTTATTGTGGATGCAATTAATCACGATACATATTTCATCAATATTCAAACCACTTAATTTAGCTAAAGCTTAAAAATCATGTCTAAATAAAGCTCAAAATAAGATGCTCATGCACTAAGGGTTGTAAGCCATGTCAGACCTTTCTCTCTCTTCATGTTGGGGTTGGTGATGAACCAAGAGCGGGAGGGGGCGAAGACTGCAGCCACGCAGAACTCCCCACCACTGGACTTACTGGGAGAGATCTGGGGAGGTGGCTTGGATTTGCTAAAAAAAAATAATAAAAAAAAGAGTCACAAATGAGAATAAGAATATAGAGAGAAAGAAAGTAAGTCTGTTTTTGGTGATTGGCATCAGGAGTAAAACAGCAAAATCAGTCACATTACTGACAAGAAATGAGAGACAGTTGGGATGTAAAGAATCAAGACAGTATGTCCTGCATATGAATGAAATCGCTCAAGAGATTCGAACAAAAATTGCACATCCACAAACAAAATACTGTGCTTGTAAACAAAAACATAGTACAATCACACATTCATACTTCATGCAAGTAAAAAAAAAAAAAAAAAAAACTTTTTTGGCTTATTATTTCACTGCCATTTTCTTAGTGTTTTAAGATGTTTAAGTGTAATCTGAAAGACACCGTTTATAATATGTTTATGTATACATATGTTAAGAAAATGTCTTTAAATTTGCAGTCAAATGCATATTATTAAAAATGTTGTTTTCGAGAGGAATTTAATTTCACTTCACTTGTATTGGACAACATAACCACTTTAACTTATATTTAGCAAGTACAATTTTACCACAGTTGTCAAAACCAGAAAACCACTGATCTTTTATATTTCTGTTCAGTGAATATAATGACGTTGTTAAAGCTCAACACATACATATACACTCCAAGAGTCTGTACAGATACCACATAATGGCTGTCATTTGCTTATAAAGCGGCTTCAAATGGAAGCTTTTAAGCTGCTTTGGAAGGCCTAATTTTAGTCTTGGCATTTGAGAAAAAATATTAGGGCCTATTGAATTATTCTTTACATCAGTAAGTTTTTGAAAAAGCCAAGGAGAAAAAGGGTCATGAGCTGAGAGATAAGGACTTGCATGTGGAATTCATCCTAGAACAGAAGCCATGCGGTGTCACTGTCCGAATCCCGCACTAACCCGCACTGTAAAAGCCTGCCCTCCGTATCTCAAACATACAAGAGTCTCCCAAAACACTGAATACTGGCTGTTTCACACAGAACAACACTTCAGATACCATCAGCCAAGCAGAGATACACACTCAAATACACACAAATGGATGTGAATGGGAGCCGGCAAAATAAATTATTAGGAGTTTCAATTTAACACATAAAAAAAAAACATAATTAAGCATACTCCCTAATCTGTAAGTAATTCTACAATATAAAAAATTTACATTAGAACAATTCAACAAGATTTGTGCTACTCGGCCGCAGTGAGTGAATCCTCAGCTGTAAGTATAAGCAATGCATCTCAAACCACACTTATGCCACAAAATGTGCTATTCACACAGAACACATTTGTGCATTCAAAAACAGTTATATAAAGAGCAACAGAATGGATGAAGTACTTGACAAGGTATCCTAAATACAGAGTACTCAATGCGCAAGATCATAAAAAACAGTGAGAAAATAAACATACTAATATCTGAAGCAATCTTTTGTTGCATCTTTTCAGTATTTTCTTCTTCTAAAATGTATTAAATAGAAAACAATTATTTAAAAATGTTAATATTTCATAATATTGTTTTTTTATGGTATTTTTGATCAAATAAATGCAGCATAGATAAGCATAAGAGAGAAAAATATCAACCCCATACTTTTGATCCCTATAACTCTTATATTTCTATTGTACTAAAGCCAAATCAAATGATTCATATTTTATCTAGAAATAATGTTAAAACCTGCATATGCATTAACCTGAAGAACATCTTCAATTTAATTTAATTTTGTTGTATAATACTATTTAAAGTTAATATTTAATCCCAGATATGTTCCATTGGCCGCAGACACCGCCTTTTAGTTTGCAAACCCCTGATATATATGATTAATTGCTATAAATTTGATTAATTCATCAGCATATCATGTAATTCATTCAATTCAAATATGGAATCGATTGAAAGCCCTAGTCATTACGCACACTAAAAGGGAAGATAACTACAAAACAAAACTGCCGATTGTAATGAAATTGTTGTAGACCGTGGAGTCTGGACTGAGAGTTAATGTGGATGAATTGTCCAGTGTTTGAACCGGGACTCTTCCAGCCTTGCATTTCACTAATAGGTGTTGAGTGACCTGTTGCTGAGCTGCACTCTCACTCTGTCACTTCCCTTAAAACTGTCATCAAGTCGTAAATTAATCTCAGGATGAGGAGTGATGCTGACATCTATGTTTAGCCGACACCAGGCGAGGATTGCTGGTCGGGAAGGACTAAAGACAAAAAAGACACAGAACAGTACAGAAAAGCAGGGAGAGATATTGGCACGTGTTTATTGGTGTTGGATGGAGGTGAAGCGAATAACTAAATATCTGCGCTGATGGGGAGATACGAGAGGTTTGTCAGTATATCGCCTTGGCTTGAGCAGCTGTGAACGTCTCGCTGTCTGTGAGTGTAGAACAGGGGACACGGCACTAAACAAACATAGTCAGCAGCCACAGGATTTGAAGAGCAGGGCACAGTGAAGTGCACTGTTTCCTTTTTCTCCCTCTAATAAAACCAGGAATCCCAAGCGGGATAACGAGGAGTGAAGACAGCAGACATTTTGATAACCTCAAATCTTTAGAAAGGCCGCTTCCTTTGCCCTGACCATCACTGACCGTAGAGAAAAACACTGAGCGTAGCTCAAAGGAGCATTCAAATCCTTCCTGCCCCACCGCAGAGTTCAAGGCAGTGAGGGAAGTGATCTTAGCAGTTTTCCAGGCTGGGATGCAGGTGAAGAGCTGACTTTTTCACGTTCGGAGGAGCTGATGCACTTTCTTGAAGGAAAACTGTAAAGGATGGGCGCACAGATGTTCTTAATAACAAAACCAAACCTAACTCCGTGTGACTAAACATTTATTCCTCTGAAATCACAGGCTGACACTGTCCGCCGCAAATCGGAGAGAGGAAATTGTATCCGTTTCTAAGTGCTTTGCATAATAAATCTGGAAATATTCTTTCAAAGGTATATAATGTCATGCCAGTAATGATGATGAGACCAAAAACACTGCAAAGAGCCAGTCTGAGTTCAAACCTGGGCATAACTTTGAGCGCTCATCTCCTAGCGGCGGGACTAAAGCTGGCCAACTATGGTAAGAGCTCTTTGAAGAGGCTTTGGTCAGCAGATGATTTGGTCAACATGTTCTTATTTGAGTGCACTTTACACTTGCATTGCATCTGAATTTCCTTGAAGCGACCGCTGGAGTTGGTTTGTCTGTATTTGAAATCACTCTTTTCCTTTGGGTCTCACTTAAAGTGGCTAGTATGACTCAAGCTACAGTGATTCAGCGGGCCATTTGAGCGAACGGATTATTCTAAATAAATATTGGCATGGGGAGAGGCTTACACAAAAATGTATCCGAAAATCAATAAATTATTAAACATAAACATATTTAGTGAGATGGAGGAGAAGGGAAGACAGACGTTACTAAACAGAAGCCAATTTCGTCTTCTCCCTATTGGCATTTCCCCTGCTGCTTCTGGAGTGTTTTTTCCTCTCTCTCTCTGACTAATTCACTGAAAAGACTCCTTGCATGTCATTTCCACTTTTAATTTAACATATGAGGACTCTTGACGTGAGCTAATAGCTTTTCCTCAAGGGCATAATTCAATCTGTGATGTCCACCATCAAAGCCCAGCCACATTACAGTCCCGGCCACAGACGAGGCGCCATCAGGGGGGAAGGCGGCTCCCCATTTGTTTTCAAACAAATGCAATGGCGGGCTTTAAATGACAAAAAGGAGCACGGATCTCATTTGAACTTATCAGGGGTCTTGCCGTGAAAATCTGACCATATGGTCGGTGTACGTCAGCCAGCAGGGCCTGTGTAACAGCGCTCATGAAAGGGTCGTGCAGAACGCAGACATTTCTTTCAACGTCACATTTATTATCTCACTGCAGCTTTTCCTCGGACACGGCTCGGGCACACGGCCACGGTCCACACACGCTGTGGTAGCCATTTGGGAGGCCGGCATCAAACGCTAAAAGAGAAACAGAAACTTTTCCCCTCCAATTCCAGCATTCCAGCTCATTGGGATATCGTTGAGGAAGGTGCCTGATTTTCTTTAGAGAGATGCCGGAAAATATGCATTCCCCAGGTGTGAGAGCAGCTGTCTGTGGAATTTATGAGCCGCCAGGTTTTGAGGTTTGTGATGGTTGTACTTCTTCGTTCTGAGTGGAGGACACTTTCAAAAATAAAAGGAAAAAAATTTTCATAACCTACATCAATCAAAACCTTTCCTGAACTACACAGGATCTCTCAGCTATCTTGAAAACAGAGCATATCAGTCAGTTCGGGAAAGGAAAATACACAATTTTCTCCATGCAGAAATAGATTTTTTGCATAACATATAATCGAAAACATTCTGCTTTTATTTTTATACGTCTAATGACTGACTAAAAGTCAGTTGTCTCATGACATTTTTTTTTTGCCGATTCTGATTCTTAGGGGGGAAAAGGTAGCTGAAAAAAAACATTTTTATAGCCAGGGCCGTCCTTAGGGGGGTGCAACTGTTTATAGCATTATTTTTTACTCTTTTTCTCAGTGTACTATTGATTTAATTAAATCATATTATGGATTTTTGAAAATTAACTTTCATGCACTGTGTAACAGCTCAAAGTGAATGAAAACATCCTGCACAATTTTAAATCTGAAAGTGCACCGTGTATAAAGTTATTGTCTCTCTCTCAAAAAAAAAAAAGAGTCTACTCTGAATCATTGAAATGAGTCGTTTTTAAAACGAATCCCAAGCCGTTTCATGTTGATGTCAACATGAAACATTAGCATATTGCCTGCCCACTTGTTGCGCGCGACCCGGGAAACCTTGACCATCAGTCAATTTTCGCATTGGTCTGAATGAAAATGCAAATTCATTCTTTGCCACTAGGTGCCACTTTTGGAGCAGTAAAAATAGCTGTTTCCCCAGTAACGCTGTACACAAAGCAGCACTGCGCTCACAAACGCTGCTTTATCAAGCATTACAGGCAGGATGAAATGGAAATGAAATCGACCAATCGAATCAATCACCGCAGATAAGCGTCAC